TTTTCGAAAGATACCATCAAAAAATAAAAAGGAGACTGATGAAAATATTCACAATACACAAATCTAACAAAGAACTTGTATCCAGGATACATAAAGAATCTCCACAACCATAAAATAAGATGACATTAAGGATGTGCAGTTCACACTCAAAAGCTATGTAAAATGATCAGGCAAAAATACAATTGAAAAGACAAAAGATTTAATAGACAAAAGAAGATACACAAATGGCCAATAAGCACATGAAAAGCGATCATTAGCCATCCATCGGGGAAATATACAATTAAACCACAATGAGTCACCAGGACACATCCACCAGAATGGCTAAAATGACAAAGACAGAATTTCCAGTGTTACCGGGGACTGCAGTAACTGGAATGCTCAGATGTCCCTGGGGAATGTAAAATGGTACCAACACTTGGGACTGTAGCTTCTTACAAAGTTAAGCATGTACTTATTATAGGACCCAGTGACAAAATTCCAAAGACTGTGCGCGAAGACTTGTTCACAACTGTTCATATAGCTTCGTGCGTGCGAGCCCAAAACAAAGGACCAGAGCGGCCAAAGGTGAAGGAGTAGACACACGGTGGCACGCCCTGACCCTGAAATGCTACAGGGCAAAAAGATGGGAGGGACGAGTAGAGAGGAGAGAGTAGGGAGGGGGAGAGAAGAGCAAGAGGAGGAGAGGATGGGAGACTCAAAGTCAAGGAGAAAAGAAATTGCACCTTGACATAGTAAAACTACAGAACTCCAAAGAACCTTAAAAGCAGCCAGAGGGAGGGGCGGCTGGGTGGCTCGGTGGGGTAAGCACCTGACTCTTGATCTCAGCTCAGGTCTCGATCTCAGGGTCCTGAGTTCAAGCCCCACCCCTGGGCTCCACGCCAAGTGTGGAACCTACTTAAAAAATAAAAAATAAAAAGGGGGGAGCACTGCTCACAAAAAACAATCAGCCTGACAGCTGATATTGCAGCAACAACAATGGAACCAAAAGACAGCTGATGAATACAACAGCAATCCAGAATTGTACACCCAGGGCATTTATTGTTCCAGAGCAAAGATGTATTTAAAGGCATACAAACACAGAGGTTACCACCAACGGATGCTCACTAATAAAACTTCTAGAAAATATATGCCAGGAAGAAGGAAAATTTTCCCAGAGGCTAGCTTCTCAGAGAAGTTCTGCTTTCTTCTTCATGCTTTTAGGTCTAAGTTTTGCTTTTTAATGAGGCTGTATCTTTTTACAGTATTACCCAGCGCTAAAGGTTAATTTTTTTAAAAGGTTTTATTTATTTGAGAGAGAGCACGAGCACAGGGGAGGGGCAGAGAGAGAGGGAGAAGCAGGCTCCCCGCTGAACATGGAGCCCAACGTGGGGCTCAAGGCAGACACTTAACCAACTGAGTCACCCAGGCGCCCCTAAAGGTTCATTTAAATTGTTAAATCAGAACGAAACGGAAACAAAATCAAATACCAAATTTCAAATTCCCAGAACAGCAACCTTAAAAAACTTTAAACACTAAACTGGAAAGGACATCAAAAACGAGGTTTACTTATTCACTGCAAGTATTTCCCAAGGGAGTGCTCTGTGCCAGGCGTATACTAGATCCTGAGTTAACAGGATGAGAACAAAAAATGAAACTCACCGTGATACTGGATTTATAAGTCTTCTTTTACCAGATACCTTGACGGGAAGCCAAAGTCTGTGTACAGCACAACGTTACTCTTGTGGTAAGAAATATTGTCGTAATAGAGTTGAAAGCAATCTAGTTTGGCCCACGGCTCCTTTGTTTGAAAATGTATGCACAAATATGACAATTTTACACATGAAATTAATTCAGTGCAAATGATGAATTCCCACCTCATTTATTTGCCAATCTTACTTTGTCTAGTATTTCCAACCCCCGTTAAAATAAGAAAACTGCCATCCAGAGCTGGGTTCACAGCCAGCACCGCGCGTGCACTGTTTCAGTCACGTTGTACTTGATCCTCCCTGGCTTATTTCACAAATATCAAAAGCCGAGAGCACCATATTTCATATCGATCAAGTGCCCACTTTTGCTTAGAGTATCCACTTGGCACACATTTTAACTGCCTTAAATTAGGACAAGGGCAGCCTAAAAAAGCCAGTTTCTCCACTTAAAAATAAACATCTTCCGGGGGCTTCTTGTAAAAACACAGGCAGCGTTTGGCATAAAAAAGGCTGGTGAAATCAGTATCTCGAGTGATCTGAATGGAAACCGTCGGGCTCTGATCTTTCAGGACATGTGGAAGTGGTTAACGGGGTAACCCGGCGGAAACGGGCCGCAGCAGAAACCCTACCCATTAAAAAGCCAAAAAAAGAAGTTGACCTACCGCTCGCTTCCCATTCAATAGCCAGGCTCAGGAGAGCCCTGCCTTTCAATCGAAAGCACCCCACAGCAGGAGAGGGGCAGCCACAGAAACCCAAAAGCCTGGCCCTGCCCCTCCCAGGCAATGGCACCCAGCACCTGAAACACCTGTGCACCCAACACCTGAAAAACCTGTGCAGGAGCATCTTTCCTTACTCTCAAAAACACGAGGCAGTTCTCTGCGATAAGCCAGGCCAGTTACAAAAGGGCTGGTTTCAAATGGCTGGTTCTCTAGGCCACAGAATCACTGGCCCAGGACCTACACATCCACCAAACTTCCCCCATCCTCTGGGAAAAACCACAATGTCACCTTTCCTATAGAGCGTTCCGCACACAAAGACTGGGCACTTGCCTTTTCTCCAGTGGTCTCTTAACCTCTTCAAGGATGGAAAAAGCTTTTCTCTTGTGATGGTTATCGCACGCACCCTCCTTAAAAATTTGTGTCATTTTCCAAATGAATTAAACTCTTGCTGTGCTCGCTGAGGTGGAGAGGATGAATTCCACTTTTTAAAAAACTAACCCTTTCGATATTATATTTAATTCTTAACTTCCCTTGGACAGTTTCTTTAATGAAATACAAAACACAAACATCCACCCAGGTGCCTTTCAGACTCAAAATAATTATAAAATAAATGCAATACGCCAGAAGAAAATTGTCTAGGATAGGTTTTTTTTTTTTAATCTCCTTTTGGTAAATTTGGCTACAGAGTAGCATTAGTGTTCTATTATGACCCAAGGGATTCAATCACCATACAAATTCCAGGAAGAGACCATCAATGCGAAAAGGGGCATTATAAACCTAACTCCAGGGACAGACTCCCTAAATGAACCACCATGCACCAACTCACAAGGGGCACGCTACAGAATCCGTGATCCTATAGGGCACAACTACATCATCTTCAACTATTTCAAATTTCCTGCCCACATAAAAGAAACAAGAGATTCTGGGAAGGCCTGGGCTAGGGAGGCATCAACTCAGTATCTCCACCAACGCTTCGCCCAGTGAGCCAGCCACTGGCCAATAATGTCTATTTATTTTACCCAGAGGCAGATCTATTAGCCAGACATTCTAAAAACACAAACGTTTTGTTGTGCTTGGAGTAACTCCAATATTGGTGCCTTGCTGCAGAACGATGCTGCAGGAATATAAAGTGAGCCATGTGGATGCTGAACCCACATAGGAAGTGCATCGTCAGAAACTGACACACCAGAAGACCAACCCTTTGGAAAGGCTGAGGGTAAACCTACCCAGCCGGCAGGCTGTGCAAGGAGGGAAGAAAGCCAGAGACGAGATATCAGAAGGGCCCACCCCATCGGAACAATGAGGACAAATTTTAAGGCAACTCCCTCAAAGCTCTCAGCACCAAAAAGGCCCGTCTCCCTCCTCTCCCGTTTAGACTGAATAAGAAAATCAAGACAATGCTGAAGGCCGTTCCGAAATGGGCTTGGCAAGTCACCACGTGTAAAATACATTAAGGGGTTTGGCTCTCCGAAGACTGCCTGCTGGGTGGGAAGACAGGGGTCCATCAAAGTCAAGGCATGGGCGAAGCGGGACACCGGGGAGGGCTGGAGGAGCGAGTGAACCTGCGAAGCTAACAAGAAAGGCACTGACGATAATAAAACGAAACAGCCAGAGGCCACCATGGTACTCCAGAAGGCCCACAGACAGGCTCAGACCCCTAAAATGCTCCGGATGAGAGGCAAGCCCTCTCCACCTCCCAAGAAGCTGATCCGAAAGCAGGGTCCTCGTTCCTTTGTGAGCCCCACCTCTCTCCTTTCTGGGATCCTGCAACCATCCCAGCAGCGGCCGGGCCCCAACGAAAACGACAAACCAAATCCAGAATGATGACGGGGAACTCATCCCCCCCCCCCAAATTAAACACACACACGCACACACACTCACTCACTCAAGGGTCTGGCCGGATCACACAGCTAAAGTTTCCGGAACTTAAATCGTAAAACCACAATCAGAAGTTGTTTTGAAATGCTCACCACAAAAATCTGTGTCCTTTGCTTGATAGGGAAAAAAAAAAAAAAACTTTGCTCTCCATAAAGGCAGGCGGTAAAGAGAGACAAAAATCTAACTTAGGTGGAGGGTGTGTTCCTCTTTGTCACTTACCGGGGTGCTCGCGCCGCGCGTGGGCGAGCGGCTGGCACCCGGCGGCGCCGTAGCACCCAAGCCAGTGGCCACCTCCCCGGCCCCGCGATCCGCCTCTGGGGCCAAGATTACGGCCGGAGGTCCGGAAGCGGCGCCGGCGCTGTCACCGTGCCGGGTGGGACGGGAGGAAAGCGGGGGGAAGGGCGCCGCGGGGTGGGGGAGGCGACGGGGGCCGCGCGAGGAGCCCCGCTGCCCGGGTCCGCGGAGGTGAGAAGAGTGCAAACGGTGGCCCGGCGCCCGGAGGCCCCCGAGCTCCTGCTATTGTTGCCGGGGCTGCCCTGGGCCCGGCGGGCGGGAGCACGACCCCACCCGCCGCCCGCCTCCTCCGGGCAGGACCCCGCGGGCGCGCACCCACCTCCACCCGCGCCCCCCGCCGGCGGGTCGGCTCCGGGCGCCCCGACTCGCACAAGTTGCCGCCCGCCCGCCCCGCAGCAGTCATTGTTTGCCCCGCGCCTCCTACCTCCACGGCGCCGGCGGCTCCGGCTCCCACTCCGGGCCTCCCGGCTCAGCAGCTCCGAACCCCCGGCTGCAGAGGGCGCGGCGGCTCCGGGCTGCTCGTGCAGCGGGGGCGCTCGGCTATTAATACCCGCGGGCGGCGGCGGCGGCGCGGGAGTGCAAGCGGGGCTGGGGGTGGCCGGCCGAGGTCCGAGCCATCAAAGGTGGCGCGGGGCGGAGGGGAGGGCGGAGCAGGCGGGGTGGGTGGGGAGCGGGCTCAGGGTCGCCATGGCCGCTTCGACGCCGGGCCGAGAGCCACTCGCGCGGGGAGGAGCGGCGCAAAGCGGGCGGCGGCCGCGTCCCCGCCCTGCGCCCCAGCCTAGCGCCCGCAGCCCTGCGCCCGCGCCGGACCCGCCGCCTCCGGGGCCGGCGAGCGGGAAGTGAAGGCGATCGCGCCCCTCCCCGGACCTGGGCCGGCCCCTCGGCGGAGGGGGGGGCGGGGGTAGCTGGGGTGCCGCGCCGCCCGAGCCGCGGGGACAGCGAGAGAGCCACAGCCCCCTCCAGCGTCCGGGCCGGCAACCTGCGCGCTAGCGCGCCCCGCCCCGCTCCGCCCCGCCCTGGGGGCAGGTGCGCCGGGGGATGGAGGGGGGCGCCAGCCCGGAACGCCCCTCCCCGACCCCGCGAGCCCACCTCAGATCTGTGCCTGCCTTGGTCCTAAAGCCAGAACCCGTGTCTCCGCGGGGCGGCACGGAACAGAGCTCAGGAAGCGCTGGGGAGTGCGCTGCGCCACCAGGGACACGCCAGTCCCGCTGTGCGGTGGTGGAAAGCGGTACAGGGAGAGCGCGAGACGGAGCGCGCCGGCTAAAACCAGCAGCAGCTGGAAGGCGGTCGGTGGACTCCGCAACTCGCTGGTTGAGGTCATGCAATGGGGTGCCTGTGTGTCCACCTAGGACTTCACGTGGTCGCGCGGGAAGCGGCGTTTTGCAAGGACCCACGAGCACCCTCCCTCCCAGGCCGCACAAACGGGCTTCCGGCACCACCCTGGGCTGCGAGAGACTCAATCCCGATTTCCCAGGACAGTCCCCACCCCTACGTGCCCCACCTCCAGGAACAGGAGCAAAGCCTCGGAGGGGAAGGGAAAAGGTTGGGAGCTGGTTTGAGGAATTTAATGGGGGAGGGAGCGAGATTCAGGCCCGAGGCGGCTGGGACCTGTGGCGCACGGGCGGGGGACGGGGACGACAGACTGTCACTGTCCCCACCCTCCAGCTGGGAGCTCCTGCTTTACCGTCTCTAGCCCCCCTTCCTGAGCCCCCAGTGTCGCCTTTCCCTGTCCTCGCTGTAGACTTCCCACTCGTGGAGGAGAAAGGGCGGGCAGCAGCAGGTTAGAACTCCAAGGAACCCTCTGCTAGATCCCGAGTGGATGAACTTCCCACCTCTGAAGGCCGCAGGCTCCGGAACCCTGGGCATTTTGCGCCTTAGAGGAGTTCACAGGCCTCGAACCAGGTGGATAGGTTTCAAGGGAGACGCTACAACTGAACTCGGAGAGGAGCAGAGCAGGGGCCCCTTTGTGGCGGTGTGGGTGGGCACAACAGGGCTCATTAGAAGTACAGGGGGTACCTGCGGGCAGCAGGTGTGAGCAGTTTCTAGAAAGGAGCAAAGAGACCAATTTTTAGTATGAGGTACTGACCTGTATTTTTTTTTTTTTACGCTTGCCTATTTGATGAAAGTGGGAGTAAAAAGGGCCATGTAGGCCTCAGACCTAAGAAGAAACAGCAGTTGAGCAGTTTGTGGCCAAAGAAAAGAAATAGTAGGTTCTGACCCTCTGAGTGGCTCTGGACAAGCCATAGGTCAGAGGGTTTAGGCCAGTGCTTCTCTAAGTGTTGGCTCTCACACCTGCAACACATGGAAACTAAGAAATGAACATTTTAGAGTGTCACTCCACACCTACCTTATCAGGTTCCCCAAGGTCAGCCCACATCAAAATGGCCTGCAGGGCTAGCTCAAAAAGATTGTCAGGCCCCATCCCCAATGTTTCAGGTTCTGTAGGTCTGGGGTAGGGCTTGAGAATTTGCGCTCCTTTAGCGGGTATGCTGAGCCCACATTCGGAAAACTACTATATTAGCCTAATGATTCACAGTCCTAGAATCACCTAAGATTTAAAAAAAAAAAAAAAAAATTCATTGGCCAGACTTCACCTCAGCCAAGTACATCAGGATTTATGGGGTTGGGACCCAGGCCTCAGTATTTTTAAAGTTCTGTCGGTGATTCCAATGTGAAGCCAGGTTTGAGAACAATTTTTTTTTAAACTTTAAAGTATACATGAATCACCTGCGGATCTTGTTAAGATGCAGATTCTAGTTTAGTAAGGTTGGAACACTATTTCCTTTGGTTTTTTCTTTAAGACTTTATTCATTCATTTGAGAGAGAACGCGGGCGGGAGTCAGGGGGTAGGGAAGCAAATCACCGGCTGAGCAGGGAGCGCAAGGCAGGACTCCAGAATCATGACCTGAGCCCAAGGCAGACTCTTAACCGACTAAGCCAGCCAGGCACCCAAGTTTGGGACGCTATTTCTAACAAGCTCTCCCGTGCTGTGTTTTTTGCTAGACCAAGTTCTGCACTGAGTGGCAAGCAAGGTGCTCTGCCATACTTCACAACTAAAGATAAAAAAGCCATAGAAATCAGAAAATTAGAAAAGTGACATTTACCCAGTCATTCTCTTTGGAAGACACACATTTTCATGTTGCTCTAGTGTTTCTTTCATCGGGAATTATGGTTTGTGTTTAGCTCTCAGCACAGGTACGGTCATCACACATCTGATGCTGTTTTATTACCTTAATATTACCAGCATGTTTGAGGCAAGGTGACTTTTCAGGGAGGCAATCTGAGAGGGTCTGCAGGCCTGGGGAGAGAGTTAATACAGGAGAGAGAAGAGGGCAGGCTGGGGGCTCCAGCTGGGAGAGGCTAGAGAAACCCCCTGCCCCCCCCAGCTTCCAGCTGTCCAGAACATTCTGTGCTTTGTACTTCATCTGACTGAAATCACCTTTTAAATTCCTCTGCCTGAAAAGCCCGCTGATACCTGGTCTACAAAATCTGCGGCCTGGACAATCAACCGCTGAAAACTTGACATGTTCCCTTGTCATTTTTTACTTTGTGCCTCACTTTCAGACTATAAAAATGTGTAATTAATTAGATCCCCTTTTTGTCCCACGACATGGGGTTATTTAGAAATCGTTCTGAATTAAGTGGTTACCCTGTTCTTAACTTTTCCCTTTGTTAATTTTAACTGTTTTTTTAATTACGGTAAATGTATGCACATGGAGAATTAAATAAGCAGTACAGAAAGGTATTAAGTAAAGCATATAAGGGACCCTTCCTCGCATTCCTGGTCCCATTTCTCAAGAGATCAGTTTCCCAGGGGTTCACAGTCCCCAGAAGTGTTCTAAGCTTAGGGGCGCCTTGGGTGGCTCAGTCGGTCAAGCGTCTGACTTTGGCTCAGGTCATGATCTCAGGGACTGAGCCCCTCATCGGGCTCTGCCCTCAGTGGGAAGTCTGTTTCTTTCTCTCTCTCTGCCTCTCCCCCTGCTCGTGCGCGCGCTCTCTCTCTCTCCCAAATAAATAAATAAAATCTTTTTAAAAAATGTTCTAAGCTTATACAAAAGTGTGTGTAAATCTCTTATGCTATAGCGATCACGTGTCACAGTGAAAAGAAACTTCTTATTTCATAATCACCATCCCCTCTCCGGGAAACATATCACCACACCACCGAGACCCGACCTTTCTGGGTCAGGACATTGCAAATCTCTGGATCTGCATATGTGCTGTCAGTAACATGAGAACCTACACTAAAAACCAAGTCAGGGAAGAGGGGATTTGCACATAGCACTTGTGGGCAGCTCTGGCGGTGACTCCTAATACCCATATTCTGTGTAATCCCCTCGCCTTGACCGAGGGCTGGGCCTAGTGAGGGCCTCCCTGCTAAGGTACAGAATTTGGAAGCATGAGGTGATGTCACTTCCATGATTAGCTTACAAAAGACTGAATTCCATCTTGCTGGCCCTCTCTCTTGCCTGCTTTAGATGAAGCCAGCGCCATACTGGGAGGCGCTCTATGAAGGACCCCTGCGGTGAGGAACAAAGGGAGCTGGTAAGGAAATTAGGCCTTAGTTAAGAGCCCTTGAGGCACTGAATCCCATGACAATCACAGGAGGGATCTTGGAAGGGGGGATCCTTCCCAGTGGACCCTTGCAATGACTGCAGCATTGTGAGAAATCCAGAGCCAGAGGACCCAGCTAAGCCTTGCCTAGATCCTTGACCCACAGAAAGTATGAGATGATAAATGGCATTGTTCTAACACTAAGTTTTGGAGTAATTTGTTATGCAGCAATGGGTAACTAACAAACATAGCATAATGTAGTAGGAATAGTAGAATTAGAAGACGCACATCCAAAGTTAAGTCAATAGGAAGAATATGAATCTCCCTTAGAGTAAGTAGGAAATAGTCTTGGGCTTTCGAGCTGTGTTTCATTTCAGCAGAATGGAGCCCTACTCCTTCTGGAGCCCAGCCACCAAGGGGCCAGCACTCATAGCCGTTCCCCTTTAATGGAACCAGCAGATACTGACTGGCAGACGAAGCAACTGACAGGAAGTGGACCCATGAGATTGTAAAATTTACAGAATCCAAGGATTCTAGAGATGAGGACCTAATTATTTTGCAGAGAAGGTTCTAGATCTAGGAGGGGAAGGGATAGCGATGGTGGTGGCAGACACCAGGTAGAGAAAAGATTAAGGAGAGATGGGGGGTGGGGTGGGGTGGAAGGTAGAGAATAGGAACCAAGGGAGTGTCCATGTAGGACACTTCTGGCTTAAAAAGGTAGTTGCTACCCCATCTTGGTAGATACTGCAAAACTACCCTCCAAAGATGCTGCCATAAATCATTCTCCCACTCTGGTGGTTTTAAAACATGGCCACAAACTCTCTGATACTCCTGTCATGGAGAAGTGGAGGGGTCTATGTCTGCTCCCTTTAAATCTGGACAAGCTTGTGACTTAAGTCAATAGAGTGGAGGTGATGTTGTGTGACTTGGTCAGAAAAAGCCATGCAACTTCGAGCTTATTCCCTGCATACACTTGCTCTTGGAGC